TAAGGTTTATGCAGTCTATAGGGTTCTCAGCTGATGAAATCCCAGAACTATTCTCTTATAACCCTTCATTACTATTTTATAGCTTAGAGAAACGTATAATTCCCCACTATGAGGCTCTTAGAAGTGTACTTGATGACGATTGGAAAGTAAGGAAATGTCTAAGATGCTCTACTTGGAGTATTTGCTCCTATGATGTAAAGAATATAGTCCCAAACATAAAAGTTTTGAGAGATGTGGGAGTGCCTCAATCTTCTGTCTTCTCTCTGATATGTAGACGTGCAAATTTAGTATTTATGAATCAATCAATGTTTGGTGAATATGTCAAGTTTGTCAAGGAAACAGGAATCGAACCTTTCAAGTTTGCGTTCGGTGAAGCACTTATAATTGTAACACAGATGAATAAATCAACCTGGGAGTCGAAACTGGATGTGTTTGAGAAGTTGGGCTGGTCCAGGGATGTCACTCTTTCGGCATTCCGTAGGTTTCCACGTGTAATGGCTTTGTCAGAGAAAAATATCGCAAACACAATAAAGTTTTTCGTGGATGAAATGGGTCTACAGTTGGAAGATATAGCTAGATCCCCATCAATTCTTAGCTTTAGCTTGAAGCTGAGGATTATTCCTAGATGGTCAGTTGTTAAAATTTTGAAAAGTATGGGTTTAGTGAAGGATAATACGAGTCCTATTTCCGTCATTATAGCCAATGAGCAAAAGTTTCTGGAAAGTTTTGTGATCAAATTTCAAGAAAGTGTTCCTCAGTTGCTGAAACTTTACAGAGGTGAACTGGGACCTTTACCTGAAGTTCATGCATAGAAAGTTTCCTGGAGCTTATGACTGTCAATTCTTGTTTCCTTGTTCATTATGTTTATTGGACTATTATGCTTCAACTCAAGTTTTACTCTAATCTGTTCCTTCAATTATATGGTAGCCCAATTTAAACTTTTAATTTGCAGGATATTTCTTTCTATTTACTAACTCATCTGAATGTTATAAATCATGCTTCTTTTTATCATAATTCATGAAGAGTCTTATTGTCATATATGACGTATGGTAATCTATTTTACTGGCATCTTGGTTCAGGACCTGGTTATTTTTTACTGCCGTTAATCACGTGAAAAACATAATATATGGATATGTTTGATACGATGGTACTTGCGATCTGGAGAGGAAGCAAAAACTCCAGGCATTTTGATATAATATTAACCTACTGAATTGTCAAAAATTTTTAATTGCTTTTTGACAAATTGTTGATGTGGCCATTAAGAGTTGATGTAACCAAAAGGAATTGATGCAGCCATTAAGAGTTTCTTAATTGTCACTAGCCCTCATTTTTACCCTAGACCATCTTTGGTTACATGAGATGAGAGTTAGATGATGTCACTGTTGGGGATTAAATATTGTATGACTTTACTACTCAACTCTGGTGTCATTTGCATGTACAAGCTTCAATACTAAAAGTCATACCCATGCTTAAGTTGCAAATCACATTGCTTGCTTTTTTAATTAACATGGCCCCTAGAAGAGTGCGCTTCATTGTCACTATCTTTGCAACCTCTTGATATTGATTGGCCTGTAATATGGTTTTGCCCCTTTTTTTTTCCAGTGAGCTTATGAAGAAATCTTGGATCCTATATCTATTGATTTTAATTCTTGTACCCATTTTGAATGGTGCAACTCCGAGCTTTTATTTCTAAATAAAGTGCTTTTTCCGTCTTATCTGTGCCAGTGGAATAAAATTTCTCCTATGTAGAACTCATTAGTCTGAAGAAAATTAGTCATTCTTTCCTTTTTCATTTTGTGGACTGCAAATTGCAACATGATGCTTGTGCCTTTGCATCTTTGTACAATCGTTTTTACAGAAAATTATATCCAAGAATCACATGGTTGCAGAGAATTTACACTGAATGACCTTTAAAACTTCAAATTATTGGAAAACACTGGGTGAAATTGGTTTTTGGTTTGCAATGGTGGAAATTCCCCTGCCTGCTATTGTTGGATTCAGCCCATTCTCAACCAGTATGCATAATTGGTATCCCCATCCTCTTGTTGCTTATCCAGAAATGCTAAAAGCAAACCAAGCCGATTATCAATTCTCATCAAGTAGGCATACACTTGTCAATACTCCAAGGGCACTCATTAATTTCAAATAGTCAAACTGTCCTTTACAATAGCATACACTTTAAGAGTACTGTGACTGATTCCATTAATCAGCCACGCACCTGTGGATATATTAAGTGTGCTTGTTAATTTCGTATGCTCAACATGTCATTTATAATAGCACTAACACTGACAATTTTGATCAGTGGCAAACCCCTTGTTAACACATGATCAACTAACTAATTCTTGAAATATGGTTGTTGAGTTGTTATTAGTGTTTGAATATTTGTACATCCAATCCAACACTTGATAAAGCAACAAGTTAACAGCTTTGTTGCTCTGATAGTATAACTTTCGGAATATTTTTAAAAGGGAGAATTGAAGTGCGGGTTTAACACTTGTAGAGGTTTACTAACAAAAAAAAAAAATCCTAAAAAAATGACTGTTAAATTTTAGAATGACAAATCAGAAATTATTATAAAAATGTGTTAGTATTTACTTTTTGAGTGTAGTTATTTTTTTTTACAAGTATAATAACCAATACTAATTTGAATTTTGAAATTGAATAATTATTTTTTGAGAATTTTTCTCAAAAGAACCAAATAACTAATGAAAATGAAAAATCTGAAGGAGGGAAAATGACGTGGATACATGGTTTCCGCTAAACGGGAAAAAAGCTTACGGTGCAAGATTCCCAGAGAAAGAGCTTGCACTTAATGCCCCAAAAATGACTAATTGACGCTTATGTCGAACCTTTTGATGGTACACACCAAATAGGACAAAACCCTTCAACCGACTTAATGGAGGACTTACGTCAAGAAATCCAAGAAAGTGCTTTCTCGTTTTTAATATATAACTTCTTATTTGATTTTTATTTTGATTCTAAATATAGAGTCTCAATTCTTTTTTTTTTTATATTTATATAATTTTTTTTAAAGTAATCCTTCTAATAATGGTAGTTTTAGCCAATATATTTGATTAGTAAGGATATTTTAGGAAAAATAATACCTATTTATTATAAATAACTAACTTAACTTATTTCTTTAATCTTCTCAAATTAGTTAACTAGATCTCATAAATAAAACCAGAGATAATATAAATAAGTTTTGGGTCTAGTGAAAAGAACTAATTTCTTATATCTTGATGAACTAATGGTTAAATTTTTGCTGGGAGAAGTTTCTATATTCAACATCCACAATATTTCAAATAACATTACCTTTAATAAGAAAAGTACTTGTGTTTAGCCAAAAAAAAAAACTTCACTTTTGCAAAATAAGTTTCGACAATAATTTCATGCAAGTGGTTGAAGTTCACTCATTTTTTGAGATGGTGACTTTCTTTTGCCCTCAATTTTTTAGTTTAAATCTTAGTTTAGGTAGTTTAGCAATGAAATTTAGTTTCGTTAAGGTCTTCAGTAATGTGAGTTTCAGATTTTTGTAGTTTTGGTTTTAAATAAATTTGTTATAAGTTCCTTCACTAAAATTCTTCCTAGAAAATTGGGAAGAGTACACATTTATCAATTATATGAACTCCAGATTTTTAATAAGGATGGAACTTAGGTCACATTCCTTATATTCTTTTTTTTTTTTGGGTCAAACATTCCTTATATTCAATATGTCAAGTTTTCTAATTATATATAGCGATGCATGCATACGAAAAAGATAAGATATACGATCATGTATAATTAGAGAAATTGATAAAATAAATAAAAGAAACTTTATGTACGTAAACGTGATGATGAGGATGCAATATTATTTCCATAGATATTTATTTCAAAATAAACATGATGATGTTATTTCAATAGATATTTATTTTGTAGTAAAGCTTAATTGAATTATGCATGCCAATATTGATTGGAATTAGCACTAGCATAGACAATTTATGTCGTGGCAACAAACATATAATTTGTTTTCTTTTTTTGATGTGGCAAAATGACCAATTATGAACTTAAAAAAAAAAATCTAATTATAGGAATTACAATTAATTTTTTTTATTCTGTTTATAAATGACTTCCATTATGTTTAATCAGAATTAAAGAAAATTAAAACTAATTTCTAAAAAAATTACCTAAATAAAAGGAAAAAAATTATATATATATTTTTTTGTGAACAAAAATTATACGTTCATGTAACACATGAATAGGAAAAAGAAATCTTTTATCATTAAAATATAGCACGGGTATATTATTTCTAACTAAAATGTAAATGTTTTCAAAGTCATTTCAATTGTAATTAATCTACTAAAATGTAAATATTTTCAAAGTCATTTAAATTGCAACATATAAATAGGAAAAAGCAAAGAAAAATAGTAAAAAAAATACCGAAATAAAAAAATTACAAATGAAGATCTATTACATTTATAAACAGGTCATTTGAATGTAATTTTTTTTTAATCATTAAGGCTTTTAGGTTCACCAGCACCATTCCCTCGTTATTTGCTTCAAACGAATGACTGTGCCAAGTTGATCCTCTGCTCGATGCTCTTGTATCCATGGCATTTGTGGAGTATGCCTAACTAAGAACAGCATTAGGAGGACGAGAGTTATATATTTTAAACCCTCTAGCTTTGTTTATTCTCTGATTCACAGTTGGAAAATCTTCCCATAGCTTTACAATTCTAAGGCAGAGTTTGAGGAATTGTGCTGATTCCGGGGTTAACTGGAGTTGAAGATTCATATTTGGTGAGTTTCTCGTCATCGTCAACCATGCTAAATTTTCTGATTGCAAGATCATCTTTGTCACTGGGATGCTGGAGGACAACCCAGTTAGGGTTTCTTCATCACCGTGCATCCTTCATTTCCTATTCGTTTTCTTCGGTTGCGAAATTATCTCAATCGAATCAGCCCGAAAAAATGGAGGTGGAAATTTTTCGTTTACAGTTTCTTATCTCATCAACTCACTTGGTATGTCCGCTGAAGTTGCTGGTAAACTATCAAAAAAGATTGGACTAAAAGGCCCAGATAGACCCGATTCCGTACTTAGTCTTCTCAGAAGCTACGAATTCTCAGATGCTCAGATATCCAAAATTGTGAAAAGATATCCCCAGTTGCTTGCAGCAAGTCCTGAGCAGAATCTTTTGCCCAAACTGAGGTTTATCCGTTCTATAGGATTTTCAGCTTCTGAACTCCCAGAACTATTTTTTTCTAACCCTACATTACTATTTTGGAGCTTAGAGAAACGTATAATACCCCACTATGAGGCCCTTAAAAGGGTACTTGGTGATGATCGGAAAGTAAAGAGAGGTTTGAAAAGCTCATGGTGGAACGTTAGATCTTATAGTGTAACGAATATGGATCCAAACATAAAGGTCTTGAGAGATGAAGGAGTGCCTCAATCTTCTGTCTCTACTCTGTTATGTAGAAATGCAAATTTAGTATTTATCAGTCAATCAAAGTTTGTTGAATGTGTCAAGTTTGTCAAGGAAACAGGAATTGAACCTTGCAAGGTTACGTTCATTGATGCATTTATAGTTGTTGCGCAGGTTGGTAAATCAACCTGGGAGTTGAAACTGGCTATCTTTGAGAGGTTGGGCTGGTCCAGGGATCTCACTATTATGGCATTCTGTAAGTTCCCAAATATCATGAAAGTGTCAGAGAAGAAACTTACAAACAATATGAAGTTTTTTATGGACGAAATGGGTTTGCCGTTGGGGGATATAGCTGGATGCCCGACACTTTTCAGCTATAGTTTAAAGAGGAGGATTATACCTAGATTGTCGGTAGTTAAAATTTTGAAAATGAAGGGTTTAATCAAGGCTAGTATGTCCATACTGGGAATGATTATTTTGAGTGAGAAAAAGTTTCGGGAAAATTTTGTGATCAGATTTCAGGAAAGTGTTCCTGAGCTACTGGAACTCTATGGCAGTGACTTGAGACCTTCACCTGATGTTCTGGCGCAGGCAGTTTCCTGAAGCTTATGACTTTCAATTTTTGGTTTCCTGTTTTATTGTCGTTATTAACCCGTTTTGCTTCAAGCCTTACTCTGATTGATTTCTTGCAATGTTATGGTAGCCAAATTTGAACTTGTATTTGTAGGATTCTTATCTGTTTAGTGTCTACTAAATCATCTGAAGGTTATTTTGGCTGCTTTAAAGCATGCCAAAAATGGTAATATATGCATATGTTTGATGCTGAGGTCCTTTCGTTGTGGAGAGGAAACCAAAATTCTGAAATTGATATAATACTGAACTTCTGAAGTCAGGATCAATCTTTGTTAGTGCCTTTGGATGATTTATAATTTTCTTTGCAAGTTCAAATTCTCATGAAGAAGAAAAAGTTGCCAAAAGTAATTTGTTTATCCGTTATGAGTGTTCTTCGTTATTACCATCTTTGCAAGGAACTTGTTTATGCTAGGGCCATGGTTAGGTTTTACTTCTTTCTTTCCTGCAAGCTGATGATGAAATCTTGGACCCTTCCTTCAGCCATCCATTTTGATTTATGTACCCATTCTTTTAGAGCATTGAATGATGAAACTCTGAAGCCTTAATGACTGTGAATAAAGTGATTTGTCTATCTCATTCTTCAATCCATCTTATCAGTGCCAATAGATTTAGATTTTGATAATGTGAAGAAATTGATCACTGTTTCCTTTTCCGCTGGGTGCAGAGAAATATGATGGTGCTGTTATAACCGCAAATTGCAGTCATCAACATGTTTATTGCCCCAGTGTATCTTACTAGAATCTTCTTTTCTGTAAACTATTTCCAAAGACCACAAGTTTGCCAAAGCTACACTGAAGGACCTTAAAACCTCAAATTATTGAACAGGCTTGTGTGAACATATTTTTTGGTTTGCAAGAGTGTTCTCCTAGCCATCTTAAGTTACAAGAGAATTAGATAATATTATTATCTGTTACTGCCTACAGTACTTCATATGTAACTCAACTGACTAGTATGAAAAGATTAAGAAAGTTATTAAGTTACTTTAAAGTATTTATATTTACTGTTTTTTCTTTAAATTAATTTGTCTTACTTACAAATAGATATATAATTTAATGATAAATATAAATATTTTAAAGAGATGACGTAATATATATTATAATTAAATAATATTTCCTTATCTCTATGTTTTAGGAGGTACATTTGGTGCTGTATTCGGTTTTGCAACCTTGGCTCTAAAAAGGGCGAGCTCTTAGAGCTTGTCTTTGAACAATTACCCTTAGCTGCTCGATGGAGCGTGTTCTATGCTTTTTCTTTGGATCATGGTAGAATGAAAGCTAATCTATTCACTTTCATCCTTCAAGATGTAGGTTTCTTTTGGCTTTGCTGGTTTGAGTCTCTATTTATTGTCTTGTTGCTAGTTATATGTTACTGGTCTCTAGTTCAGTCTTTGGTCTTTCAAAATCTGTATTAGTGCTTGTATTTATTTTCATATAATGAAGTTTTCTTCCAGTGGCCAAAAAACATATATTATAATTAAATAATTTAGTAACTTTTTAAATCTATTTAAATTACTCAACTTAATTTTATATTAAGTACATGAGTTGGTATTAAACATTTGATCACCTTGCTTCTCTACTCTGATGCCATTTGCGCGTGCAACATTGGATAAACATCAGAAAGTTATAGTCATGCTTCTTACAGCCATGCAAAATCTCAATCAAAACCCAAAAAACCAGAATAAATTCGGTTCGATTGGGTTTTTGGTTTCCGTTCACCTCTACTCACCTCTAGTCTAGTGACAACAAATATAAAATTTTGTTTTTCTTTGTATGTGAGAATGACGGTTGGCAAGAAAAAATGAATGACGACTTATGTCTATGATCTTAACTATAGTTAAAAATCATTTCCAAATGAAATTTTTATTACTTCTTTCATCATCGTCAACATGTTTTTATCTAAATTAAAAAAAAACTAAATGTCATCAGCTTTATATTAAAAATGAAAGTATCTCTAGAAAATTGACATTTGTCTAAATTTAATAACTTTCTGATATAAAAAATTTACTAATAGTATAAACGTAACAAGTTACGCCGCACAAAAGTAGAGGTGAAAAATTGAAGGACATGACCTAAGCATATTATTTTCATTTTTCTTCAAAGAAAACCTGTGCTCCTCTGTTCGATGCTTCTGCATCTATGGCAATTGTGGAGCCTGCGTAACTAAGAATGGCATTAGGAAGACGAGAATTATAGATTGTAAATGCTTATAGTCAAAGAAAGAGCTCCACTTCTGAGGCGAGCCGAAATGCGTCTGGGTTTCCTCCTCTTTGTTGATTCTCTGAATCACAGTTGGAAAATCTTCCCATAGCTTCACAATTCTACGGCAGAGTTAGATAAATCGTGCTGCTTCGGAGGTTAATTGGAGTTGAAGATTGATATTTGGTGAGTTTCTCGTTGTCGTCATTCATGCTGAATTTTCTGATTGCAAGATTATCTTTGTCACTGCCAACCTGGAGGACAACCCAGTTAGGGTTTCTTCATCACAATGCATCCTTCTTTCGCTATTCGTTTTCTTCGGTTGCAAATTTATCTCAATCAAATCAACCCGAAAAAAATGGAGGTGGAAATTTTTCGTTTACGGTTTCTTACCTCATGAATTCATTTGGCATGCCAGCCGAAATTGCTGGTAAATTATCGAAATGGGTTGAACTGAAGGACCCAGATAAACACGACTCGGTGCTTAGTCTTTTTAGAAACTACGGATTCTCAGATACTCAGATATACAGAACCGTGAGATCCTTTCCTCATGTACTTTTATTAAATCCTGAGCACACGCTTTCGCCCAAACTAAAGTACCTCCATTCTGTAGGATTTTCACCTTCTGAAATTCCAGGACTAGTCTCTTCTAACCCTACATTACTAATTTTTAGCTTAGAGAAACGTATAATTCCCCACTATGAGGCCCTTAAAGGAGTACTTGGTGACGATTGGAAAGTAAGGAAATGTTTGAAAAACTCAAGGTGGAACGCTTGCTCTTATGGTGTAATGAATATAGTTCCAAACGTAAAGGTTTTGAGAGATGAAGGAGTTCCTCAATCTTCTGTCTTTACTCTGTTATCTAGAGGTGCCAATATAGCATTTATGAATCAATCAAAGTTTGTTGAATGTGTCAACTCTGTCAAGGAAATAGGAATCGAACCTTTCACGCGTGTGTTTGTTGATGCACTTGTAGTTATAACAATGTTGAATAAATCAACCTGGGAGTTGAAACTGGATATCTTTGAGAGGTGTGGGTGGTCCAGGGATGTCACTCTTTTGGCATTCAGTAAGGTTCCACGCATTATGTTTTTCTCAGAGCAAAAATCACAAGCAACATGAAGTTTTTTGTGGATGAAATGGAATTACGGTTGGAAGATATAGCTGGATGCCCAACAATTCTTGGCTATAGCTTGAAGCAGAGGATTATTCCTAGATGGTCTGTGGTTAAAATTTTGAAGACGAAGGGTTTAATCAAGGAACATGTGTCCCTAAATTCTGTTATCATCATGAGTGAGAAAAGGTTTCTGGAAAATTTTGTGATCAAATTTCAAGAAAGTGTTCCTCAGCTGCTGGAACTCTACAGCGGTTCTGGTGAATTGAGACCTCTACCTGAATTTCCAACGTTGGCAGTTTCTTGAAGTTTATGACTTTCAAATTTTAGTTTCCTGGTTTTATGGTTATGAACCGTTTTGCTTCAAGTCTTACTCTAATTGAATTCTTGCAATGTTATGGTAGCCAAATTTGAACTTTTATTTGCAGGATATTTATTTCTGTTTACTAAATCATCTGAATGTTATTTTGGCTACTTTAAAACATGCCAAAATTAGTAATATACGCATATGTTTGACGTTGAAGGTCCTTTTATCGTGGAGAAGATGCAAAAATTCTGAAATTTTGATATAATACTAACATGCTGAAGTGAAGTACAACCTTTGTGGGTGCTTTTGGATGATTTGAAATTTTCTTGGCAAGTTCTTGTAAAGAAGAAAAGGTTGCCAAGAGTAATTGGTATATCCATTATAAGTGTTCTTCAATCTTCATTATTACCATTTTTGCAAGGAACTTGCTTTTGGTGGGGGCATAATTTGGTTTTGCCTCTTTATTTCCTGCAAGCGTACGATGAAATCTTGGGTCCTTAATCCATCGATTTCACTTTATGTACCTATTTTTTTGGAGCATTGTTTCCGTTTACTAACTCATCTGAAGGTTTTCTTTTTATCATAATTCTTGAAAAATCTTCTTTTTATGTATGACATATGGTATCCAATTTTACTGGTATACTGGTTCTGAAGGAAATTAAATCGTCAGCTTATTGAAGAGGCTTATGTGAACCTAATTTCTGGTTCGCAAGGGTGCGAATACCTGTTTCTATTTTCTCCTGAGTCACATCCCAGCCATCTTAAGTTACAGGAGAATTAGATAAGATTATTGTCAATGATTAAATATCTGATCACCTTGCTTCCCTATTCTGATGTCATTTGCATGTGCAAGTTACCACATTAGAAAAACATCAGAAACTTATAGCCATGCTTCTTCCAGCTATGAGGAACATTGCTAGTTGTTTAATAACTCTGATGTTTTTCAGTAAATTTTTCTAATCATAATTCTTGATTAAATCATCATATAAAAATACTTATCTGGTTGTTTTCAGGGCTGCTAATGTAACATATGGATATGTTTGAGAGTGAAGTTGCCTTTTGTCATTGAAGGAGTGGAAACTGAAATGAGGTGATTTGCTGTCACTTTGATACCTTTGTTATAAAATTGAAGATGATATTAACTCTTTTATATATTTATCTTTATTTAAAATGAAAATATAAGATTTTTTTTTATATTGTCAGGTTCGATTTGGTTATAGATCTCCTAAAAAGATTTTTTAGATTCACGCGTTCTCAGATTCAACCTCTCATATTTATACCGTCAAAACTCATTTGGTTTGGTTGCTTGTTTATCAAACTATTGAACTTCCACTTTACCCTGTTTCTATACTACTTTCAGTTTTATCTTTAATATAAGCTTTAGTTTATATTTTAATTTGAACTACAAATTAGGAGCGGAGGTAATATTATCTATGTGAGACATGTCTAGTTATTTAATATTATTTTTTCCTTTTCATAAAACAAAAATTAGTTCATAGTAGATTAAATAAAAAAAAGTTTTTTCCAATTTGCTATTATAATTTTTTGGATACTTTTCTTTATTGGAGTTCTAACGTGCACATCCTTGCACATTTCTCCGGTTCTTTAGCAGCCAGGATGACTTCTTATCATCTGCCCCACAAAACACAAAGTAAACCACAAAAGTTGCAATTCTTCAAAAGGCCCATTTATGGAAGATCCATTTCTGTGTTTTTCTTTTCCTACCGTCAAGTGTTCGGTGTTCCGAGAAAGAAGACCAGTTGATCAGTTTTCACTGTAAACAAAGGCTATATATAAAAATTGTGGGTTTGGTTGCAATAAATATATCTAATTCATAAAATATTTTTCTTTTGCTTTTTGTTTCGGTTGTTGTGCGTAAACAAATAATGGGAACAAGTTTGCGCGAAAAAAAAGTTTTCTATTTTATATTTGTGAGTTGACATCAGTTATTTTGTTTTCAGAATATAAATCTACATAAACAAAGAAAACAAATAAAAATCAAAGGCTTCGATACAAAAACAAATGATGGGGGCTTATGATCTACTTGGAAAGCACTCAACTCACAACTAGATTTGATGCCATCAAAGAAATGAAACTAAATAGAAATTTAGAATAAAAATACTATTTTCCGTCTTAATATAAAAACTAGTGGACTGATTTAAATAAATTAAGAAAATTAGTTAAGTTAGTTATTTGTAATAATTATGTGCTATTTTTCTTAAAATATTCTTTTTAATCAAGTGTATTGGCTAGAACTATCATTATTATAAGAATTATTTAAAAATAAATAAATATGAGAGACAAAATAGAATAGAATTTTATATTTAGAACTAAAATAAAAGTCAAATACTACCTCCGGTCTTTAATATAAGACCTTATTTGACTTTTATTTTGATCCTAAATATAAGACCTTAATTCATTTTGTCTCTCATATTTGTACTTTTTTTTTCCAAAATAGTTCTTCTAACAATAATAATTTTAGCCAAGATACTTAATTAGTAAGGATATTTTAGAAAAGACAACACCTATTTATTATAAATAACTAACTAACTAGCTCTTATAATTAGGACTGAAAGAAGTATTAATTATACTAATTAAGTTAATTACACGAGGTTAATTGCAGGAGGTGGTAATCTATTTAAGAGGGAAGCTTAGTATGGAAGAAGTTAGGGGTAGAAAGTTAAAAACTCTTGCGACGAGGTGCACCGATGCTTCGACAAATTTTGCCTTCTCAATCTCCCTCGCGCCTCCGTTCCATTGTTTCGTCAATGTGCCAAAGATGCAGATTCGATGATGCTGCCTGACCCGAAATAGCGAGGTTTATACATAGGAAATGCAAAAGGTTACAGGATTGCTCACCTTCTTCTCTTACGTTGTCTGGGTTCTACTCCCTTCTTCGTTCTTTATTTGCTGATTGTCTGATTGTAAGCGTCATATTTGGGAAAATTTGAGGAATTATGCTACTTGCCGGGTTGATTGGAGCTGACTACTCGTCTATTTAGTGAGTTTCTGACCATCATCATTCATGCTAACTTTTCTGTTTGCAAGATTATCTTCGTCACTGCCGTGGTGGAGGACAGCCCAGTTAGGGTTTCTTCATCGCAATGCATCCCACATTTCCTGTTCGTTTTATTCAGTTGCGCAATTATCTCAGTCAAGTCGACCAGAACAAAGTAGAGATGGGGATCTTTCGTTTACGCAATCTTACCTCATGAACTCATGTGGCATGTCTGCCAAAGTTGCTGGTAAAGTATCTGAGAGGATTGAATTGAAGGACCCATATCAACCGGATTCGGTACTTAATATTCTGAGAAGCTACGGATTCTCAGATCCACAGATATCCAAGATTGTGACGTGCTATCCACGGGTGCTTTTGGCCAATCCTGAGCACAATATTTTGCCCAGGCTAAGGTTTATGCAGTCTGTGGGGTTCTCAGCTGCTGAAATCCCAGAACTCTTCTCGTATAACACTGCATTAGTGTTATATAGCTTAGAGAAACGTATAATTCCCCACTATGAGGCCCTTAAAAGTGTGCTTTATGATGATTGGAAAGTGAGGAGATGTCTAAAATGCTCTACTTGGAGTATTTGCTCCTATGATGTCAAAAATATCGGCCCAAACATAAAGGTTTTAAGAGATGAAGGAGTGCCTCAATCTTTGGTCTTTTTCCTGTTATCTAGACGTGCAAATGTAGCATTCATGAATCAATCAATTTTTGCAGAATATGTCAAGTTTGTCAAGGAAACAGGAGTCGAACCTTTCAAGATTGGGTTTGTTGAAGCACTTATAGTTGTAGCTCAGTTGCGTAAATCAACCTGGGAGTCGAAACTGGGTATCTTTAAGAGATTTGGCTGGTCCCAAGGTGTCACACTCATGGCATTTAGTAAGGTTCCAAATATCATGGCTATGTCAGAGAAAAAGATCTCAGACGCAATGAAGTTTTTCATAGATGAAGTGGGTTTGCGGTTGGAAGATATAGCTGGACGACCGAATATTCTTAGGCATAGCTTGAAGAAGAGGATTATTCCTAGATGTTCAGTAGTAAAAACTTTGAAAATGCAGGGTTTAATCAAGGAAAACGTGTCCATTCCTTACCTGATTAGTATGAGCGAGAAAAATTTTCAGGAAAATTTCGTGGTTAAATATCAGCAAAGTGTTCCTCAGTTACTGAAAATCTATAGGGGTGATTTTGGATTCTTACCTGATATTCAGGCCTAGGCTGTTTCCTGGAGATTAGGACTTAGGACATTGTCAATATTTTGTTTCCTTGTTGATTATAGTTATTAAAATGTTCTGCTTCAAAATGTTATGGTATGGATTTTAAATTTAAAGATATTTCTTTCTGTTTTCTAGCTCATCTGTAGGTTTTCTTTTTATCGTAATCCTTGAAAAATCTTCTTGTTATATATATGACATATGGCATCCAATTTTACAGGCATCTTGGTTCTGAAGGACCTTAAATCCTCAAATTATTGAAGAGGCTTATGTGAACCTAATTTTTGGTTCACAAGGGTGGGAATACTGGTTTCTTTTTCTCCTGAGTTACTTGCCAGCCATCTCAAGTCAAAGGGAACTAGATAATGTTATTTTCAGTGATTAAATATTAAATCAACCTGGGAGTCGAAACTGGATATCTTTGAGAGGTGTGGGTGGTCCAGAGATGTCACTCTTTTGGCATTCAGCAAGTTGTTGTCAGAGCAAAAAATAACGAGCAAAATGAAGTTTTATGTGGATGAAATGGGTTTGCGGTTGGAAGACATAGCTGGATGCCCAACAATTCTTGGCTATAGCCTGAAGCAGAGGATTATTCCTAGATGGTCAGTAGTTAAAATTTTGAAAACGAACGGTTTGATCAAGGAAAAGATGTCGCTGAATTCTGTTATTAGAAACAGTGAGAAAAAGTTTCTAGAAAGATTTGTGATCAAATTTGAAGAAAATGTTCCTCATCTACTGAAAACCTATAGGGGTGAATTGAGATCTCTACCCGATGTTCAGGCCTAGGCAGTTTCCTGGAGGTTAAGACTCGGGACCGTGTCAATATTTTGTTTCCTTGATGATTGCAGTCATTAAAATGTTCTGCTTCAAAATGTTGTGGTATGAACTCAAATTTAAACGATACTTGTTTCTGTTTACTAACTCGTCTGATGGTTTTCTTTTTATCATAATTTTTGGAAAATCTTTTTGTTATATATGACATATGGCAAGCAATTTTACTGCCATCTTGGTTCTGAAGGACCTTAGTATCTCAAATTATTGAGGAGGCTTAGTGAACCTGAATTTTGGTTCGCATGGGTGGAAATAGCCCTATTTGTTTCCTCCCTGAGTTTCATCCAAGAGCAGCTTAAGCTGCTAGAGTATTTGATCATATTATTGCTAGCAATTAAGTGTCAGTTTGGGAGGGCTTAAGAAATCCCCTATAAATACGTTTCATGTAAACCGAGACAAAATCTTTCTCACATACTTGTTTTGTATTCCGTAAATTACTATTAAAAAGCTACTTATAAGCTATTTATAAACTGTTCCAAACGCGCCCTAAATGTTTTGTCACCTTACTTCTTAAACTTTGATGTCATTTGCTAGTGCACGTTACAACATTAGACAGTTAAAGCTCTGCTTCTTTAAGCTATAAGGAACATTGTCTGCTGTTTAATAACCTATGTGATGTTTATCAATCAATTTTCTAATGAAACATAATTCTAGTTCAAATCTTCTTAATAATCAAGCATGTCCTATGAAAATAACTCATCTAGTTGTTTTCAGTTTTGTTAAGCGTCTAAAATAAGGTAATAAATGCATATGCTTGAGAATGAAAGTTACCTAATGCTGTTGCTGAGGGAATGGAAATTGAAATAAACTAATTTGCTGCCTCATTAACACCGAGTTTCCGAAATGCATAATTTGGTAGGCTGTTGTGAAGAACTCTGATCACTCGTGTATGATAGCAGTTGTTAATTTTTACTCTTTTTGTACTATTTATAAGTAATTGACTTCTAACATGTTGTATTAGAATTAAAAAAATTTTAAATTGTTATAAACAAAATTTTAAATTTTATTAACTCTTTTAAAATTTAATGACTTTCTAATTTGATGTTACTTGATATGTATATATATGTTCTTATGAAAAAAACAATTCATATAATAATAAATAAAGGGTATATTTATATTAAAAATTTAATAGAGTGACTTATGATAGAATATAAAAATCTCCTTTCTTTGTCTGATAAATAGGATTAGATGATTTTTGGACGAGTATGAATCATGGCTTATTGGGTGCTTCTGTTTCATAATGTTTTTACCTTTCGATTTTTATAAATTCCCAACTGAAACTGATTGTCTTCTTTTTATTTTCTCTCACCAAATAAGTTAAGCTAAAATATGAATGAAACAATACTTCAAATTTATTTCTGTGTTTTCTGTTCATATTATCACCAATTGACAAGTTTGTCACTTATGAAGCATGTAATTTCTCGGGTCACCACTTATCACAAAACAAAAATCATATTCCTCCCCTCTTTAATATATGAACTAATTGGAGAACTAATACTAATTTTATATGTAAGATCTATTTTATATATTTATTATTATTTTTCAAATTAATCATATTGATTTTTTTCAATAATAATCAAATAGAAGAGAAAGTAAAAGAGTTTAAAAAAAATGCTGATGATGTTTTAAAAATATATATACTATATTAGCTAATGTAATTAATATTATTAATTTATTCAAATTAATTAATCAAATCTTATATTAATAACCGAAGAGGTATTTAATTTTTGTGAGTTTCCATCAGTCTTTGAAACCATTATATAACAAAAATAAGAATTTTGGGAGAGTCTCACATAAAAAATTACCCTGAGGTCTGTTATTCTATCTTGTACCGTCTCTGTTTTTTAGATGTTCTTGGATCCCTTGCCACTGCCCACCGGGGAGCCTGCGTAGCTCAGAACGGCAAAAATTATACATCGTGCGAGTCCACAAACTTAACTCCTTCTTTTGTTTTGTCTGGGTGGTCTTCCATTCTCTAATCGGGGTTCATTTCCGTTGCGGGGTCAAATTGTCCAAGTTTCCTTTTCTACGAGTAGCAGAATTTGAAGGATCCTACTGCTCGCCGGTTTAATTGTAGCTGACGAATTTACATTTGGTGAGTTTCTCATTGTCACCATCATTCATGCTAACTTTGGTGTTTGCAAGATTATCTTCTTCACTGCTATGCTGGAGGACAACCCAGGTAGGGTTTCTCCATCACAATGCCTCCCACATCTCCTATTCATTTTATTCGGTTGCGAAATTATCTCAATCAAATCAACCAGAACAAAATAGAGATGGGCATTTTTCTTTTACGGTTTCTTACCTCATGAACTCATTGGGCATGTCCGCCGAAGTTGCTGGTAAAATATCGAAAAGTGTTGAACTGAAAGACCCGGATAAACACGACTCAGTACTTCGTCTTCTCAGGAGTTACGGATTCTCAGATACTCAGATATCCAGAACTGTGAAGTACTATCCACGGTTGCTATTGGCAAATCCCGAGCAGAATCTTTTGCCCAAACTGAGATTCATCCATTCGATAGGATTTTCAGCTTCTGAACTCTCAGACCTGTTCTCTTTTAACCCTAAATTACTAATTTATAGCTTAGAGAAGCGTATAATTCCCCACTATGAGGCCCTTAAAAGTGTACTTGATGATGATCGGAAAGTAAGGAAATGTCTAAAATACTCTGCTTGGACTATGTGCTCCTATGATGTGAAGAATATATTTCCAAACTTAAAGGTTTTGAGGGATGAGGGGATGCCTCAATGTTCGGTCGTTTCGCTGTTATGTAGACGTGCAAATGTAGCATTTATGAATCAATCAATGTTTGTCGAATATGTCAAGTTTGTCAAGGAAACAGGAATAAATCCTTCCGAGGCTGCGTTTGTTGAAGCACTTTTAGCTGTGACACAGATGAGTAAATCAACCTGGGAGTCGAAACTGGATGCCTTTGAGAGTTGTGGCTGGCCCAGAGATGTCACTCTTTTGGCATTCAGTAAGTTTCCACAAATCATGGGTATGTCAGCGAAGAAAATCACAGACACAATGAAGTTTTTTGTGGATGAAATGGGTTTAAGGTCGGAAGATGTAGCTGGATGCCCAACGATTCTTAGTTATAGCTTGAAGCAGAGGATTGCTCCTAGATGGTCAGTAGTTAAAATTTTGAAAATGAAGGGTTTAATCAAAGAAAATGTGTCCCTAAATTATGTTATTATACTCAGTGAGAAAAAGTTTCTGGAAAATTTTGTGGTCAAATTTGAAGAAAGTGTTCCTCGACTCCTGAAAATCTATGAAGGTGACTCGAGCTTTTTACCTAAGTTCGGGCAGAGGCAGTTAGTTCCTGGATGTTGACTTCCAATTTTTTGTTTCCATCTTTATTATGGCGACTAAACTTTTCTGCTTTAGGTCCTACTCTAATTGATTTCTTTCAGTGTTCTAGTCGTCCAATTTGAACTTTTAATTTGTAAGATATTTCTTTCTGTTTATTCACTCATCTTCTCAGGTTTCTTTTTATCGCAATTCTTGAAAAAGTCGTCCTGTTCTGTATGACGTATGGTAATCAATTTAACTGGTATCTTGATTCCTGAACTGATTGTTTTAGCTTCTGTTAATTATGCAAAACTTACATTGAAGGGACTTAAAACCCCAAATTGTTGAAAAAGCTTAGTGAACCTGATTTTTGGTTAGCAAGGAGAAACACTCCTCTATTTTTCCCGAGTTACATGCCGGGCTATCTAAGCTACAAGAGAATGAAGTCTCCCAGTGTTCTTACTGAGGGACTGGAAGCTGAAGGTACTTATCTATCACATTAACAGCTTTTAACTAAATTTCTTGGAATGCTTAATTTCAAAGGTTTTCTTTTTCTGGGGTGAAATTTGATCAATCTTTACCCTTTCACTGAGGGAGGAGTAATTATACGATGATGATGTTAGAATTGCAGTAGTTAATCCTGAGGTATCATGGCCTATTTGTTCCTTTTCATTTGGGGTATTATTGTTGGCCATGCCTCTTCATTTGGGTTACATGTTTCCTAATGTTGTATCTTGGATATGGATTATCAGAAAATGTGGCGTCTTTTCGTCTGAAAAGTGATGATGATCTTTCAATTTTATCGCTTGCGATGTTAATTGGAGCTCATGGCTCCAATTATCATCACCATTCATTTCAACTTGTCTGATTGCAAGGTTATCAGAAACTGTGTTGTCTTTTCATCCATGCCCTTCTCTAACATTGCAGTTACGGGTTTTCTCTCTAGTTCCCTTTTTCATTACCCCTCTTCTGTATGCCTAGATTAATTGAAATCAGTATAGATGCTTAATCTCGCAAAAGCGTTATATAAGTTAGAATTTCTCTTTGTGCGGGCGTCATAATTCAGAACATTTATAATACACTGCAGAAAGTTAAAATTGATATAGAGTTGGGTTCTTAGTATAACAAAAATTAATTAAAACTAATTAAAAGTAATAAATAGGTAAGAAATATATTTTTATTTTTAAATATGTTCTTATAATAATTGAGAAAAAAAGAAAACAGAATATAAAGTCCTTATCTATGTTATTCTTCCAGTCCTAAATATAAGATTCTTTTTGTAGTATAAATTACACTACAAAAAAAAGTTTTATATTAAGGACTAGAGGAGTAGTTTTCACTCCGGGTTGATATTGGCTCTCCTATGCACAACTTGATCGAATGAAGAATCACTCTTTTCCATTTTAATATTTAATAACATGGGGAGAACTATAATAAAATCTTAAGAAAAGAAAATAATTAGTTACAAGTTTTCATTTTTTATTTTAAAACTTATCTTTATATAATGTTTAGTTGTTATTAGAATTTTCTAATAATTATGTTTTTTAAAATTTGATTGCAATTCTCCCTTTTGAGCATGTGGTGTTTGTCAAGGTCGATATTCTTTTCTCTTTTTTTTTCCCGGGGTACAAATCAAGGTCAATACCCTTCAACGTATGACATTGATTTCCTAGCTTTTTTTCTGGTTTCATTTCTGTTATCTGCACCCAGTGGTTTCTGTTCAGCTGATCTTTGTCAAGGTTATGTTTGGAGCTGCATTTAAACAGCACTTATAAGGTTTTTTTTACCAATATATGATAAACAGTAAAATTATATGCTAAAATACTGCACTTTTGAAACTATTTACCAATATGCTACGTTTAAAATCGTTCTTGGCAAAAACTATTTTAAAATTATACGCAAGTCGTTCTTGGCATGAATGATTTTAGAAATCGTTCACACGAAGAACAATTTTAATTTTTCCTGTTCACTTTCTCATATACGAATCCTGTCAATTTTACATGTAAAAATAAGAATCCTTAACAATGCTGCCATGAGATTACAACGTCTATATTAGATTAAAATTTAAAAATCCCAATTTTTTAAATTTTTTAAATAGAGCTTGATGAAATTTTTTGTCATTTCCTCTTCTTTTTATTTTTCTCATACCAAACAATATGTAACAAAAAAAATTATGTTTTGATTGTAAATTTTTAATTGTAACAATTAAGTTACAGGACTAAATTATTATTATTATTATTTTAGTCACATACATAAAAGGTCTATACCCAATACTTAATTTCTCATCTTATTATTATTATCACCAATTGACAAGTTTGTCACTTATGAAGCATGTAATTTCTCGGGTCACCACTTCTCACAAAACAAAAATCATACTCCTCCACTATTTAATGTATAAACTAATTGGAGAATTAATACTAATTTTATGTATAAGATTTATTTTACATATTTATTAATTTTTTTTCAATAATAATCAAATAGAAGAGAAAGTGAGAGAGTTTAGGGGGGAAAAAGTGCTGATGATGTTTTAAAAATATATATTATATTAGCTAATTTAATTAACATTATTAATTTATTCAAATTAATTAATTAAATTTTATATTAAGAACCGAAGCAGTATTTAATTTTTGTGAGTTTCCATCGGTTCTTGAAACCATTATATAACAAAAATAAGAATTTTGGGAGAGTCTCGCGTAAAAAATTACCCTGAGGTCTGTTATTCTATCTTGTACCGTCTCTTTTATTGGATGTTCTTGGATCCCCTGCCACTCCCCAGCGGGGAGCCTGTGTAGCTCAGAACGGCGAAATTTTCCCTTTTTTTTTTTTTTTGTGATACGAGGAGCGGGCTCGAACCAGCACGCACAGACCCAAACACACACACACACGCCACTCGGCTAAGAAGGCGGTGGTCAGAACGGCAAAAATTATACATCGTGCGAGTCCACAAACTGCTTCTTTTGTTTTGTCTGGGTGGTCTTCCATTCTCCAATCGGGGTTCATTTCCGTTGCGGGGTCAAATTGTCCAAGTTTCCTTTTCTACGAGTAGCAGAATTTGAAGGATCGTACTGCTCGCCGGTTTAATTGTAGCTGACGAATTTACATTTGGTGAGTCCACAAACTGCTTCTTTTGTTTTGTCTGGGTGGTCTTCCATTCTCCAATCGGGGTTCATTTCCGTTGCGGGGTCAAATTGTCCAAGTTTCCTTTTCTACGAGTAGCAGAATTTGAAGCATCGTACTGCTCGCCGGTTTAATTTTAGCTGACGAATTTACATTTGGTGAGTTTCTCATTGCCACCATCATTCATGCTAACTTTGCTGTTTGCAAGATTATCTTCTTCACTGCCGTGCTGGAGGACAACCCAGGTAGGGTTTCTACATCACAATGCCTCCCACATCTCCTATTCATTTTATTCGGTTGCGAAATTATCTCAATCAAATCAACCAGAACAAAATAGAGATGGGCATTTTTCTTTTACGGTTTCTTACCTCATGAACTCATTGGGCATGTCCGCCGAAGTTGCTGGTAAAATATCGAAAAGTGTTGAACTGAAAGACCCGGATAAACACGACTCAGTACTTCGTCTTCTCAGGAGTTACGGATTCTCAGATACTCAGATGTCCAGAACTGTGAAGTACTATCCACGGTTGCTATTGGCAAATCCCGAGCACAGTCTTTTGCCCAAACTGAGATTCATCCATTCGATAGGATTTTCAGCTTCTGAACTCTCAGACCTGTTCTCTTTTAACCCTAAATTACTAATTTATAGCTTAGAGAAACGTATAATTCCCCACTATGAGGCCCTTAAAAGTGTACTTGATGATGATCGGAAAGTAAGGAAATGTCTAAAATACTGTACTTGGACTATGTGCTCCTATGATGTGAAGAATATATTTCCAAACTTAAAGGTTTTGAGGGATGAGGGGATGCCTCAATGTTCGGTCGTTTCGCTGTTATGTAGACGTGCAAATGTAGCATTTATGAATCAATCAATGTTTGTCGAATATGTCAAGTTTGTCAAGGAAACAGGAATAAATCCTTCCGAGGCTGCGTTTGTTGAAGCACTTTTAGCTGTGACACAGATGAGTAAATCAACCTGGGAGGCGAAACTGGATGCCTTTGAGAGTTGTGGCTGGCCCAGAGATGTCACTCTTTTGGCGTTCAGTAAGTTTCCACAAATCATGCGTATGTCAGCGAAGAAAATCACAGACACAATGAAGTTTTTTGTGGATGAAATGGGTTTAAGGTCGGAAGATGTAGCTGGATGCCCAACGATTCTTAGTTATAGCTTGAAGCAGAGGATTGCTCCTAGATGGTCAGTAGTTAAAATTTTGAAAATGAAGGGTTTAATCAAAGAAAATGTGTCCCTAAATTCTGTTATTATACTCAGTGAGAAAAAGTTTCTGGAAAATTTTGTGATCAAATTTGAAGAAAGTGTTCCTCGGCTCCTGAAAATCTATGAAGGTGACTTGAGCTTTTTACCTGAAGTTATGTTGACTTCCAATTTTTTGTTTCCATGTTTATTATGGTGATTAGACATTTCTGCTTTAGGTCCTACCCTAATTGATTTCTTTCAGTGTTCTAGTTGTCCAATTTGAACTTTTAATTTGTAAGATATTTCTTTCTGTTTATTAACTCATCTTCTCAGGTTTCTTTTTATCACAATTCTTGAACAAGTCGTCCTGTTCTGTATGACATATGGTAATCAATTTAACTGGCATCTTGATTCCTGAACTGGTTGTTTTAGCTTCTGTTAATTATGCAAAACTTACATTGAAGGGACTTAAAACCCCAAATTGTTGAAAAAGCTTAGTGAACCTGATTTTTGGTTAGCAAGGAGAAACACTCCTCTATTTTTCCCTAGTTATATGCCGGGCTATCTAAGCTACAAGAGAATGAAGTCTCCCAGTGTTCTTACTGAGGGACTGGAAGCTGAAGGTACTTATATATCACATTAACAGCTTTTAACTAAATTTCTTGGAATGCTTAATTTCAAAGGTTTTGATTTTTTTTTCTGGGGTGAAATTTGATCAATCTTTGCGCTTTCACTGAGGGAGGAGTAATTATATGATGATGATGTTAGAATTGCAGTAGTTAATCCTGATGTATCATGGCTTATTTGTTCCTTTTCATGTGGGGTATTATTGTTAGCCATGCCTTTTCATTTGGGTTACATGATTCATAATGTTGTATCTTGGATATGGATTATCAGAAAATGTGTTGCCTTTTCGTCTGAAAAGTGATAATGATCTTTCAATTTTACCACTTGCGATGTTAATTGGAGCTTATGGCTCCAGTTATCATCACCATTCATTTCAACTTGTCTGATTGCAAGGTTATCAGAAACTGTGTTGTCTTTTCATTCATGCCCTTCTCTAACATTGCAGTTACGGGTTTTCTCTCTAGTTCCCTTTTTCATTACCCCTCTTCTGTATGCCTAGATTAATTGAAATCAGTATAGATGCTTAATCTCGCAAAAGCGATATACAAGTTAGAATATCTCTTTGTGCGGGCGTCATAATTCAGAACATTTATAATACACTGCATAAGGTTAAAATTGATATAGAGTTGGGTTCTTAGTATAACAAAAAATTAATTAAAAACTAATTAAAAGTAATAAATAGGTAAGAAATATATTTTTATTTTTAAATATGTTCTTATAATAATTGAGAAAAAAGGAAACAGAATATAAAGTCCTTATCTATGTTATTCTTCTAGTCCAAAATATAAGATCATTTTTGTAGTATAAATTACATTACAAAAAAAGTTTTATATTTAGAACTAGAGGAATAGTTCACTCCGGGTTGATATTGGCTCTCCTATGCACAACTTGATAGAATGAAGAATCACTCTTTTTCCATTTCAATATTTAACATGGGGAGAACTATAATAAAATCTTAAGAAAAGAAAATAATTAGATAGAAGTTGTTATTTTCTATTCTATAACTTATTTTTATAGAATATTTAGTTGTTATTAGAATTTTTTAGTAATTATGTTTTTTAAAATTTGATTGGAATTCTCCCTTTTGAACATATGGTGTTTGTCAAGGTTGATATTCTTTTTTTTTTTTAACCCTGGGGTACAAATCAAGGTCAATACTCTTCAACGTATGACATTGATTTCCTAGCTTTTTTTCTGGTTTCATTTCTGTTTTCTGCACCCAGTGGTTTCTGTTCAGCTGATCTTTATCAAGGTTATGTTTGGAGCTGCATTTAAACAGCACTTATAAGGTCTTTTTACCAATATATGATAAACAATAAAATTATACACTAAAATGCTACACTTTTGAAACTATTTACCAATATGCTGCGTTTAAAATCATTCTTGGCAAAAACTATTTTAAAATTACACACAAGTTGTTCTTGGTGTGAATGATTTCAGAAATCGTTCACACCAAGAACAATTTTACTTTTTCCTGTTTACTCCGTCACATATGTATCTCTACCAATTTTACATGCAAAAATAAGAATCCTTAACAATGCTCCTATGAAACTACAATGTCTATATTGGATTAAAATTTGAAAATCCCAATTTTTTTAATTTTTTAAATAGAACTTGATGAAATTTTCTGTCATTTTCTCTTCTTTTTATTTTTCTCATATCAAAAAATATGTAACAAAAAAAATTATGGTTTTATTGTAAATTTTTAATTGTAACAATTAAGTTACAGGACTAAATTATTATTATTATTATTTTGGTCACAGGCATAAAAGGTCTATACCTAATACTTGATTTCTTGTCAAACCGAACAAATGCCACATGACAGGCTTTTTTACCAAAATACTACAAAAAGTAAGATTATATACTAATATACTATACTTTTAAAAGTATTTACTAATATGCTATACTTAAAATCGTTCTTCAGGTGAATAATTTTTCAAGTCATTTATCTGCTGAACGATTTTTTCATAATCTATCCTTGATGTGCATGAAAGCTTGTGTGGCATTTATCTGCACCTAAAATCGTTTTTGGTAAGACCGATTTTCAAATTACATACAAGTCGTTCTTGGTATAAATATTTGTTAAATGAAGAAGTTGTTCAGCAGATAAATGACTTTAAAAATTATTCACCTGAAGAACGATTTTAAGTATAGCATATTAGTAAATACTTTTAAAAGTGCAACATATTAGTATATAATTTTACTCTTTGTAGCATTTTGGTAAAAAAGCTAGTTGTGTGGTATTTGTTAGGTTTGACGAGAAATCGAGTATTGGGCATGGACCTTTTATACCTATGACCAAAATAATAATAATAATAATTTAGTCCTACAACTTAATTGCTACAATTAAAAATGTACAATCAAAGCATAATTTTTTTTGTTATGTATTGTTTGATATGAGAAAAATAAAAAGAAGAGGAAATGACATAAAATTTCATCAAGCTCTATTTAAAAAATTAAAAAAATTGGGATTTTCAAATTTTAATCCAATATAGACGTTGTTGCCTCATGGGAGCATTGTCAAGGATTCTTATTTTTGCATGTAAAATTGGCAGAGATTCATATGTGAAAGAGTGAATAGGAAAAAGTAAAATCGTTTTTGGCATGAACGATTTCTGAAATCATTCTTGTCAAGAATGATTTGTGTGTAATTTTGAAATTGTTCTTGCTAAGAACGATTTTAAGTGCAGCATATTGGTAAATAGTTTTAAAAGTACAGTATTTTGGTGTATAGTTTTACTGTTTATTGTATATTGGTAAAAAAAACCCACTTATAACCATGTTAATGTAAGCCATACTTATATTATATTTCATAAATTGCAATTAGAAAACGCGTACAAGTCATTCTAAGTAACCTCAAAGTAGCTGAAGGGAAAGAACAAATCATGTAATGAAACGTAATGTTGTAAATGGTATATGGAATGTTGTAAATTTTTTTTTAATTTGGCTTTAGGTATAAATTACATTTTTTGAGTAGCGTTTAGAGCTTCTTTGTTTTTTTTTTTTTTTTTGTTTTAAGCAAAGGAGTAGCTTTAGAGCTTAATAATGGCTTTATTAGGTTTAACAAGGAGTGATGCTTGTTCCCAAAATAATACGACATTAGCATATGAATACAACATTGTTTGGCCATTATTTTTCATACAACATATGTTTTTTATCAAGTCAAATCGTAACACTCCTTTAACATGAAATGAATATTTAATATTTTGTTGTTATTTCTCGTCTACTCATTCAGCTATATTCATCTACTCTTCCGGTTTTTAATATAAAACCTAAGTATTAAGTTAATTTTGGTCTCAAATATAAAAGTTATCTTCTATATTTATTAATTTTTTTCTAAATTATCTCTATGAATACTCTCTCAACTATAATCAAGTAAGTGAGAGAGGAAAGATACTAAGAAAGATAATTATGATATTTTAGAAAAATATATCATATTTTTTAAAATTAAATAACTTACCTAACTTTTTTAATATAATAAAATTAGTTAAATATGTCATATATTACGGATGGGAGGAGTATTTACTAAAGGGGAAATGACAACAACAACAAAATCGGCGGACCAAAAGCGGAGCTAAACAAAATGGTATTCTCTCTCATTCATAATATAAGAAGTCTTTCAGGGGAAAAAAAATCGTTCAAAATATAAGAAATTAACAGGGTAATTAATAATAGTTTTTCATTTTTACTTTTGATTAAAAGGAGGAGAGTGAGTTTTAAATATACATAAAAGTGAAGAGAAAATGTTCCAATAGCATTCTTCAATAGGGGTAATTTTTGTCGATTTAAAATATATTTAATGATTTAACTAATATTTCTTAATCTCAATTTATAAGAAAGTCTAACAAACCCCAGAGGAAGCATGACGTTAGCATATGAATATAAAATTGCTTGACTATTATTTTTCGTACAACACATATTACTTTTCCAGTCAAATCTTAATACTACCTCCTCCGATCCTAATTATAAGAGTTAGTTGACTAATTTGAAAAAATTAAAGAAGTAAGTTGAGTTAGTTATTTGTTATAAATAGGTGTTGTCTTTCCTAAAATATCCTTACTAATCAAGTGTATTGACTAGAACTCTTATTATTAGAAGGGTTACTTTGGAAAAAAAATGTATAAATATGAGAGACAAAGTGGATCCAGTCTTATATTTAAAACCAAAATAAAAGTCAAATAAGGTCTTATATTAAGAACTGAAGGTAGTTTTTCTCTAATGTGAACTGAATATTTATTATTTTGTTAGTACATTTTGTCTGCTCGTATCAGCTATATTAACCTATTTATTAAAGGAAAAATTGACACAAAAAGAAATTTAAAAATAGTGATGGAAACAAGCAAAAAGAAAAAACCTTTTCTTAATGCTCGGGAGAATTACAGAACGAAAAACAGCAAGCGGGTAACCCAATCATCCTCTCAAAGTGGTTAAACTACTTAAAATATTTGACTGGAAATGATGATAAAAGGCAACCACATGACAGTAACAAAAATAAATGTTATAATCCTTTAACTCTATCTTTACATATCGAAAGGAAATTACTCTAAAACACCATATCAAAATTAATTACAATTTTTATTCATTGGTTCCTGTGCAGATTTTTTCTTTTTTCTTTTTGTTAATATAATTTTTTCTCCATAAAATTTAAGTTTATCTCGGTTTTGATCCTTTAAATTTCAAATCAATTTTTTTTTCTGAAGTTAATTTAGTTTGTTTTAAAACGTCAATTCGTAAAAATGTACCAGTGTTAAAATTTGTTCAAGTTTCTTACATGATGCTAAAATAGTGATGTAGACTCATAAGAGAGAATAATGAAAAGAATAAATCCCTAAAACGCAGTTGTTTAGTCTTTGTTTTTTTTTTTTCTTTCATTGTTTGTTTCAAGATTTGTTTCCTGTATTTTGAAAACTCATTCTTTTTTATACAATTGTTATTTGTGTTGCGTTTTGAAGACCTATTTTTCTTCCTGTTATTTAGTCCACATAAAATCCAATTAAGTGTCATTTGGTAACATCGTTTGTGAAGTTTCAGACTTTAATGCTGTTACATCTCTATAAATTAATGTTTAAGACAAACTAAATTCATATGTTTGAAATTTGAGAAACCAAAATTAAAATGGATCCAAATAATAATGACAAAACATTATATTAACTTTTTTTTAGATTAAGGTGTATTTAGCACCCAAAATATTTTCTTGAATGCATCTAGTATCTTAAAATATTTTGTTGTGCATCCAACATTTTATAGTTTTTTTTAAGTGCATTTAATATCTCGAAATATTTTTTTTTTGCTTTGATGTGGGATGCATGAAAAAATATTTTAGGATGTTGAAAGCACTTTAAAAGAAAAATGCTCCTTCGATCCATAATATATGAATTAATCCTAG